AAAAATAACAATACCCAAACACTTTTAGTTGTACTTTTTAGAGTATTCACATGTATGCTTGATTTATATGTTTAATTTCCCAATATTATTATAGCATACAGTATGTATGACAGTATTTTTGTATTTAATTTCTCTTGGGGGAGAAAATCTAAATGTTTCAAATATATATCAAGTTATAAGTTAAACTCATTTTTTAATTGTTAGAGAAATCATGTGTTTTTAAACTGTGTTAGTAGGAATTAAGAGTTCTTGAAGGATTGGTGTGGCAGATGAATGACTAAATAATTAGAACAGATAGTGACAGAATAATCTGATGTTTTCCTGTTAAAAGAACAGTTTATTGTGATGGCAGGAGTTCAGCTTTACAGCTTCCTTCGCTTTCTTTCTGGATGTTTTCAAAATTTAGGTATCAGTGACCTGATAGCTAACATATCCTTAAAACCTGTTACATGATACTTTTGGTTTTTGAGCATATGTTTTTCCAATGAAAGTGAAATTAATTCAAGGTTGAATTAAAAGATTATATTTAAGCCAATTTTTTTTTCTCCTAGTGTTGGACTCCTTGATCTAAAAATATTCCAGATCATGAATTTTGCAGAAAGGTTTTAGTATTATGTAGCAGGATTGCTGAATCCAAAACATCTTTCTGATTTGTGGAATGAAAAATGGCTTAGGGTGCACTGATGCACCATTAATATATATTTTTATGTAGAGTTTTTTTACATGTTTGGGATATAGTTTATTGAGACTGTTAACAGAAAGTGATCCTATGAAAAGGCCAGGTTGGTTTTGTTTTGGTTTTTTTTTTTAATGTGAAGTACTACAGTTTCAATTTTGTTGTGATTTGTGCTTTGGTTTATTTGATGTCTGAAGAGCTAAAGTTTAACCACAATTGAAGTAATAAAGCTGACTATCTAGATTCTGATTTCCAGTTGTGTACCTTAGGCAAAACCCAGGAGGGTTACTGAAGAGAAAATAGGGCACAAAAAGTGAAATTAAACCTTACCAAGACTAAGAACATTCTAAATATTTTAAAATATTACAATTTACAGTATTCATAAACCTAACTGGTCCTGTAACTCTTACCTACTCTAATCGTGTGGGTTTTTTTAAAAACTCTGACTATTCTGTGTCTTCCAGTTGTTTGGGGTTTTTTTTCCAGTGCTCATCAGCTTAAGGGAAGCAAGTCTGGTTTGTCATAAGACAAATAAAACAGTTCTGTAACAGGGTGCCAGGTGTTCATATGTTACACGTTAGCTAGTACTTTCAGAGCATCCGAGTAGCTTTAAATACCCAACCCTTTGGACTCTGAAAAATTCCTACCTTTGAATACAGGTGAGAATTCATTTGAAATATGTTTGGGTGGGTTGAGGGGGTTTTCTAACATAGAGACTTCCTGTTCCCAGCTGTCTCCTGTGTGTCTGTCACCATGAAAATGGATCCAAATTTTGTGGTAGTTAGTAGAAAGATGTCAGTTAACTCCCACAGAATAGAGAATATTTAGGTTTAAGAGCAGATGTACTGGAATTACATAACTCTCTCTGCCAAAGATAAGCTTTTGTCTCTATTGAACTCATGTCTTAGGGGAGACTTTTATAGTCATGTTGATTTTAAAAGTTGAATTAAAATAGGTGGCTGGATTATTTTATGAAGAAAGTTATTTTCATTTAAAAAAGAGGATTCTTTGGTTTTGTTGTCAAGCAGAAAGGCCATACCTGCAGTAGAAGCTTCTGGTGTCTGTGAAATTCTGTGAATTTTATGTTCCCAAATATTTTATTTTTGTTACATTTCAGAATGCTTCTAAGACAATTTTCTTTTAAAGCAACTTGATTTTTCAATTAGTTGTGCTTCTTAACACGTGGATACTTACGTACTGCAGATCTACATGGGAATGTTTGTAGAAGTTAAAATGAAAATGTTGTTCATAAATAAAAATCCTTTTAATAATGTTTGTAGATGGAGGTTAGGAAAACTCTTGTAATTTCAGATTGCATGATGTGCTCCAAGTAAATGAAATCTGTTTTCAGTAGTGCTGGTAGTCCTCAGTTACTCGAGCAGTCTCCAATTTACTGGGTTTTGTAATTCATTACGTTTTTTCTTGCGCCTCTATAGGTTGCTTCAGGCAATGTCCTCAGGCTGCAGATAGTGCAAATGATACTCAGTTTGTATGTGCATAACAGGAGAGAAGGCTTAGCACCTTTTGGCTGTTGGGAACCAGATACCTGTTTGGAGATGTCCTTTGCACAGGCTCTATGGAGATGAGGCTCTCACTTGTGGCTGAGAAGGCTGTGAAAGGCATGCCGAAGCTGCTGGCTGAATTGCTCTACGCTGCTTCTCCTGATACGTATTTAGCACTCCTCTGGGGAGTCCCTCAATCTGTGGTGCTATAGCTGATCTGTTGTAGGAGAACACATGTAGACATGGCTTAATTATATCTGTCATTCTCCTAGTAAAAATTTGAATGCTTTGTCATCCTTGTTTTTCTTCGCAGCACCCTTGTGAGGAGTATTGTTGTCTTAATTTTTAAAAATGGGGAACTGAGACATGCTACGAATTATTTCCATTGACCAGATTCAAAGCTAAGAGCAAAACTCTGACCAAAATTTTAATTGCAAATACCAATCACTTATATTTGGCCTATGTAATGTAATTATCTTATAATAAAATTATTTCTTGTCATACATGTATATTTGTGGGTTTCGTTTATTCTTTGCTAAAATACATGGTCATAATGTAATTATTACTACATTCCAGTTTCATTGTAAATATCTCTGCCAAGAAGTCTGTTGGGGCAGCTCTAGACTTCCTGCGTGGAAGAGACTTACAAAGCTCCACCCATTGTGCAACTTCTTTCTGTAGAATAGATGGACCTGGATTGTGATAATAAATTACTTTAGTGTAACTGTTCATGCAAGAACTTTGGATATTTCACTGTATCTGTTTTCATAGAAAACTTCTGAATGATGTTCAGATATTAGTAATGAAATAATAACACGGGTGAGTGTACTAATAATTCATATAACACTAATATTATTACACATTTCCTTTACCTTCCTCCTACAGAAAGGTTTTGTACAACATAAAAATAAGCAATGCTTAAAAGAAACCATGACATGTTCATACTATTTGTGATATGAATCAGTGTGGTAATATTATGCAAACCAACTCAAAAAGTATTTAAGAAAAGGTCAGCAGGAGAGAGTGGCAAAGTAGTGGTAATTTTTTTTAACTTTTGAAATGAGAGAGAATGGGGCACCGAGAAGATTTTGATAGTATAGAGCAGCTGTTGCTTCAGTTCTGAATGAATTGGGTTATCCACATTTTATTTAGGATGTGATTAGTTGTCATTTGACAAGTAGGTATCCGCCTTCCTTCAGTTGCTGGAAAAGTTGTTTCAAGATTTTGTTTTCTTCTCTCTCCCCATGCCTCTTCCTCTCTAAAGTGAGATAGGGCTAGGTGGGAGAGGAACAGGAAGAAAAGAGGATGAAAGAGGGTCTTTTGGCTGTCCCGTTTTTTTAGGGGCTTAGTATCTCTGAGTAGCAGCAGAATGAGGCAGGCCTGAGTCTATCAACTTCGTCTCCTGCTGTTTTTGAAAACTATGAGCATCTGGAAAGGAGCAGAGTCGCTTTCTCTGTGTGCTCAGGAAGATTATTTGGTCTGGGTTTACAGCTGCAGAGTCGTGTTTGACTAGGAACAACAGTGGGGGTTTTAGTGGTTTACATTTTGAAAAAAGGCAGTATGACAATATCTTCAAAAAAGCCCTCCCTTTTCTGAGGGATTGATTTAGTCTCTGATGCAGCAAATGACTGAGCTGCACATCCACCACTGTTGGAGAATATCAGATGTTTGTCTAATAGTCAACATTCATATCCAATTAACATCCAGTACCTTCTTTCCTGTTGTTCTCTGAGTAGGCTTGTTAATGGTTATCCACCCTTCTTTATTTAGTTATCAACTTCTGAGTCAGGATTTTTTTTTTACCAACTGCTACTGTTGAGAATTCTTTCAAAATACTTAATCTTACCTCAATTTTGAAAAAGCAAAAAGAGTGGTAGGAAACATACCCCTCAGAATATTTTTTCCTGAGACTAGTGTTATACCCTAAATTAAGCCTCAGGTATATTCTTGAAGTTCTTGTCTTCACATAAAATAGAAAATGGGATTGGTCATAGTATTGCTGACTTTTTTTTTGCCTGAATAGTGTGTTTAGGGTTATTTGCACGTATCTCTCCTAAAGAACATTGCATAAATTTTTAAATGTGTTGTATGCTGTAAGTATCTTCCAGGTAGATTTGGTTGCAGCTGTCTTTTGGCCACTTGCAGTCGGTGCCAAAGTATTTTTCATAGTACTGCCCTCCTCTCCCTTTTGTGAGCTTCATTGAACAATTGAACCAAGCAGGCTTCTTAAGAGGTTTTGTAGTCAGCATGTTTGGAGACAGGCTTGAAGCCAGTTAATTGAAATAGTATTTCTCTTTTCTTTATCCTTTATATTTTTTTCCTCTTTAGCTTACTGCTGTTCAGTGGCAAAAGAAATTTCCTTGGCCTGTCTTGAGTAAAATGGATATTTAAGTAGCCATTGATCTAGTCAGGAGACAATTACTTAAATTCTTATGTCACTTTTTCAGAAGATACTGTGAAGATCAACACAGGATTCAGCTCTCCCTTGTATCTGTCTCTGCTAGTAAAAGTGTTAATAGTAGCATGAAAATAGAGGTTAACATTTAAAAGAAAAAGTTCCCTTCTTTTCCATAGTCTTTCTGTGTTGTAATTTCTTGCCAACCTCATAGTTCCTGTGTTGGGTTGACAAAAACGATAGTTGGCTTATTTGTTTTTAAGTGTCTGTGCATTAATGCATTTCCAGATTAGACACTGTTAGTATTTCTTTTCTTCTAAACTAAACTGTTGGTTTTTTTCTTCTCTGTTCCCACTTCTCCAATCTTTCTTCCACTTCCATCCTTCCCCCATCCCCATTTTCCTGCTAAAAATATCCTTAGGAATGACTTGCTGATGGTGTGCCGCCAGCTGAATATGGAGGAATCTGTCGCCGAGATCATGCACCAGCTGGGAGCAGATGAAAATGGAAAAATTTCCTTCCAGGATTTTAGTCAGTGTCGCATGGAACTGGTACGAGAAATCAGGAAGGAGGAAGTGGAGCTTTCTGTGAAGTCGGATGACTCTTGTAAAAAGAAAAAGCTAAGGGATAGGATAGCTTCCTGGCCAACTAGCAGCAATAACAGTTTAGGTAGGTATGACTTTTAAATGTCCTGTTGGTGTAATTTAACAAAAAATGAACGCTGGGGGTTTTGTTACCCATTTTACTGGCATCAGGATTTACCCTAAGGGGCCTTGTGAATATGCTTTGGCATAATTTCATCATGTATTAGAGTGCTATTTTAACTGATGCAGTCTGGTTATCGGTATGTAGGCTTGAATGTGTGCAGAACATCCTCTTCTAGAAACCCTAGTTGCACAAGACAATGATCTTTCTTGAAAGGATAAGACCTGCGGAGCTCAGCTGGTAACTGAAGATCCAGCTCTTTGTTGTCTGTAAAGCCCAGACAGACAGGTAGGTAGAAATATTAAAAACGAGGAGAAAAATAGTCTTAGTCTTTTAGCTTTCAGATGTAATATACTGTAGGAATGTGGATGCTTCTTGGATGCTTTAAAAATCATTCCACTTAGTTGGGGATCTGGAAATGCCTTGTGATTTAGGGAATACAAAACTTGTCCTTTCACCCTCCCTCCACCCAGCAAAAAAGCCTAACAAACCAACCACCAAAAAAAGCCCTTGCTATGCCTCCTACAGGAACATGGGATGTAGGAAGGGATTTTCTGTGTCGTTGAGTCCAGTCCTTGGTAACAGTGTGATCAATCAGCATTAGATCAGAAATGTTAACACCTACAAAATGCTTCCTTTCACCTTGTAGCAAGTGCAAGAGACGAGAGGACACAGCTTCTGTGGTCAAAGATTCCAAAATGTTTTGTGGAAAAAGCTGGGGATGTTGTCAGTGCTGTAGCTCCCTACAGCAGCTGCATACTAGCTAAACATAACTGCTGGCCCATGATCTGGATCTCACCTGCATCCATGCTGCAGAAGGCGGCCATCAACCTTTGATTGTATTTAGTGAGAGCTGTGTCCCCTCAACCTTTTGTTTAGACTACATGAGCCTCCATACTTTTTTAACAAGAGATCCTCCATTAGTCATCTCAATAGTCTGTGTATGTCCTAAATAAAGTTAGGAATATTTTTTTACTGTCAGATATACTTCATACATCTTCCTCGAGAGTTTGCTTATCTGTGTTCTGGCTCCTCATGTAACTGATCTGTTGTCAGAGTCCAGTATCCAAATGTTAAGCATGACACCCTCCACATCAGGTTTACTTATCTGAACATGTTGATGTTACATGGGATTTAGCAGAGTGATACAAAACATACTGAAAACAAGTACAAATTATACCTAGCAATTGCAATACACAGTCAATCACAATGCCAACGTAATTCCCATTACCAGTCTCTCTAATATGTTCACTGTTACGACACGGGATGTCCCCAGTCTTGTGGGGGAGACATATGTGGGTTGAAGCCAGCTCAAGCCCATTGCTCTCTTTTAAATTCTTTCATTAGTTGTTTATGTCTTTATAGTCTCTATGTTGTGCTGAGCTACATGTACACCTCCCCCTTGCTGGCCTGGCTAACTCAGGGAGACATTCACACTCTTAACGAACACAGGAAGAAACCTTTCCACCACCAGCTGACCCACTCAGCTGTTGATAGCTGTTTATCTAAAGCAAAGGCCACCTTTGGGTCTGCTTGGTGTTGAGATCAAGTCAGCTTCTTTGCAATAGCTGCAATCAGTCCCAGCCCGCATTGTTCCCCGGGGTTTGCAGGCACATCGCCCTGGCCATCTCCTCTGACCACCTTTCGTGGTAGGCGTTTACCAGTCAGTCATACCTGCCTTTATTTTTTCAATAGTCAGTCTCCTAGAATGTAAAACTGGGCACGTGTTGGTTTGGGGGATTGGTTTTGTGTTTTAGTTATTTATTTTGGGAGTGTGGGTTTAGCGTGTTCTTCTGTCTTCTAGTAATTCTGCACGTGTTTTTGGCTGGTCATCTCAGGCATTCAAATTTTCCTTGTTTGCTTTGTATCCTTGGTGAATTCCTTATCTTCTTGCCTTTTAGATTGCACTTCTCTCTCACCAACCCATCATTGCATGCTCATTGGCTTTTCTTTTTGGCTTCTCAACATAGCAAATCTGTTTCGTAGCTCTGTTTATTCTCCACCTCATTTCTTTTGCTGTCTTCATAGTCATATTTTGTTGTAGATGTATTTTGTTGTTGTTGACATGTCCTCTGTTTATCCTTCTTCCACATATATTCTTGAATTGCAAGATGATTAACCCCATAGTTTCTATGCCCATTTCTCCATCACTGTCTATACTGTATCTTCATAATCCTTGGGCTCAATTGCATTTCCAGCCCATGAATCTCTTTCAGGACCTGTATCAGAAAACGTGTCAAAACCAACATCATGCCTAATACCTTTTTTATTGGATTATGGATGGTGTGTGTTCCCTAGATCATATAATTGTCTTCTGCTTCTGCTGGCTGTTTTTTCAATGCTGCCACTGTTGTATTTTCCTGCAAAACAGAAAACTACTACTGCCTTCAAACTGTTATACAAAGTTTCCCTGTTTGCTGAGCAGATTTCTGGCAACTTGAGTTTTAAAATATTCTGTCTTAGACAACCGACCTAATAATTATGGTTTGTAATAATCAAGGGTAAAAGATAGATCCTAAACTTTACCAGAGAAAGGTCTGCATTACAGTCCCAAAATGTATCCCAGAAAGAAATCTTACTAATTGCTGCCAAAAAATAGTCATAGATGAACATTGAAATTTGTTAATCGATACAATTCAGTCCCTACTCTTTTTTCTTATTTTCCACTTTGTTAGTTGTACAAGAGTAATTTAATGAATTTTTAAAGTTCATGAGTGAATTCATATTTCTTTTCATAATTTTTTTTCTTTTTTTCCAAAAGTTAAGTCCAGAAGACCTTTGAATTTCCTGCCTCAGTATATTTCACTCTGTGCTGATGAAGCCTGACTATTTTACTGTATTGTGTTTTTAAACCTATAAGGAATTCATAGTTTTTGTACTTGTCCTGTCTTGACTCTTGCAGATTCTGTAAGACTTTTTCATAATTAGAGAACATATGGAGATGCTCCCCCATGTAAACAAAAAACAGAATGGGAGGAAATAATAATAATGAGCATTTAGAATGCAACTGTTTTTTATTTGGTTGTAAAAGAAAACTATTGTGGCAGCACTGTTCAAGATGTTCTACAGATCTCTTTTTAAAGAGCCGAGGAAACACCACTAATGTATTTCTGTGATACAAACACTGCACAGAGTATGAACGTAATGAGAGCTAAGGAATTAAACTTGCAGTCAAGCTTGAATTATGATCTGCATATGCTTCCATGCCTTTCATGTCTGTGAAGGCTCATGTATGTACTCGTTAGTGATCAAAGAGTTGATTGTATTATAATGACTGTTTGCTATAGCTTTCTAAACATTGTTTAAGACAAGAGACCTCATCTGCAAATTCAAACAGCAACTTGGTGGATGTTCTTTTTTTTTTATCTTTTTCTTTGGACAAAGAACACTGTTTTTAATAAACATTTTCAAAGATAGTATACAGGGCATTTTTCAAGACTAATTTCTACATAGTGTGTCAGCTGCTGATAATCCTTGAAAGCTGTTATCATTTATCCATGTGGGGTGCATAAATTACGAAACTTCAAAATGCATTCAAGTGCCACTGAGTAGCAGGAGTCCTGGTGATCTGAAGCAAAGCATCCAGCCTCTGTCATGGACATTTTTTACACTGTGTGTTTGTATGTAATTGTGCAGAGATTACTAGTCAGACAGCATTTTGTGCAGGCTTTTCTTGTAGCTGTTCATAAACAAAGAGTGCAAAAACATATGCATATATCTAAATAAAAGATTATCTTTGCTACCTGTAATTTTTGCATTTCATTATAAAGAAAATAACTGGGGAAAAAAGGTCCTAAGAAATAATAACATTTAAATTACTATTGAACTTCATCTCACCCATCTTTTTTTATGACTGATAAGTTTATTCTAATAATTTTGCCCAACAAATGTTTCTACTCCTGTGTTTCCAGGTGGGATGCAGAAATGAGGAAATTGGTTGGCTTTTTTAGTCAAGGTACACGACTCAGGTTTATTAATACTCAGTCATATGTGTGCTCAGTAAGCCAAACCTGCATCTGTATCTACCATCTTGACAATCAAATGAGTGTAGAGATTTAAAAGTTTAATCTTTTATTCAAATGCATGAAAAAGGACATTTTTTCAGGTTATTAGAATCATGCTTTTTACTGCTTGGATATCTGCAACTCAAAGCTGTTATAATGTATTGTAGTTCTTAATCTACGCTATTAATGTGGATGGGAGCTTTAACAATAATTTGCAAGTAATTACCAGTAATTCTTCTAGAAGTGAAATGGAATGTGAACTCTGTTAATATTCTTCTGACATTGTTTAAAATAATAAAAATTAATAAAATAACTTTTGAAAGTGCTGCCAGAGTGTTGCAATGACCGTATGCTACCTGACTCTTTAATACATTCTTTCAGTAGGGAATACAGGAAGAATATCAGTTAATGATCAGGTCTGTGGATGTTATTTCCAGTTATGGAGACTGAAAGCCATGATGGGTAAATAAATTTGTGAATCATCTAGTGAATGATGGAAGTGGATTGCTTGGCTAATGAGAGCCTGTAATACAGCAGAACTACACCTCTGATGATTTAAGGCAGAAATTTGCCAGAACAGTTGTGGCTTCTGTCAGGTTTTTCAGTGTTTTATAGCTTTATATGTCTTATGTAAAAGCTAGAGTTAGATTTATTTATACATCATATAGATTTGTCTAGCTCTTTACAGGTAATTAGCAAATTGCTATTTTTTCTCATGATAGTCTTATTTTTAGTACCCATTGGTTTTGAGGATGAACAAGAAATGGTATTGTTTATTAGTAAATTCTTTCTTTAGACAGGTGAATGGTTTCCTGTCCCACTGAAAGCTGCATGTTACTTAATGATCTGATTTCATATTCTAGATAAATAGTTGTGAATACCAGAGTCCATAAACAATCTTTAACTGTAGGTCAGTAGTTAGTAATTAATTCATAGTCAATTCCCTTGTTCTCTTTACTG